CAATAGCAATGGCCAGATTAAGAACAAGTTACAAGATATTTACATGCTCTTAAATTGCAAACCCTCAAGCTCATTAGAGATACTGGGTTACCGTAAGGCACCTGCTACAGCGGGGAAATAGAGCCAAAGAAGCAGCTGCTCCTGCCTTGAGAATAAACGAGCACAGAGAGCACGGAGGGGTGTCCAGGCTGCTGGACAGACACAGAAAGGCAGGAGCCAGCAACAATGCTGGTGGACTTCTAAGAGGAGCAAAGGACTTGCAGCAAATTGAAGATCAAAAAGTCATGGTGAACAGGAGTCCTTGAGAAACCCCAGGAGAAACAGCAGGCCAGAAAGCCACTGAATACAGTCCAGAAAGCTACTGAAAATTAGCAGGTACTAAAAAGAATGTGCCAGCAAACACGGATGGCAGAAGGAGCTTCATTTTTCAATGTTTTCCTTTTTTTTTTTTTTTTTTTTTTTTTTGGATTTTTGATTTTCCTTCCTCATTGCAGATACTGGTGTGAGTGTACAACATTAAGACCACCAATACCTCACCAATCCTCATGTTATCCTCATTTATACTGATGAGAATAAATAGCCTAAAAGCAACACAGATTCTTGATCTTAATCCCTGCTAATCGAAACACCGCCTAATGCACAACCTGTTTGACAGTGTGCAGGGAAATCCCTCAATGTGTTTGGAAAGCTGCTTCTACTTTTATTTACAAGAGAGATTACTGATCTTTAATTATTCGTCAATATCACAAATGGCAGAAAATGCAGCTTTACACATTTCAATGTCAATTCAATGTTCAATGTCAAGGAATGGTCCATTTTAGGCTCACTTATTCCTGGCTAGTTATGTTTCTTCAAAGAGAAGGTCACAGAGAGAACCCTTTGGATTTAGGCATACTATGATGAAGGAAATGGATTATTACTTTCTGTGCGATCATACCCATTTTATGTCTAAGCTGCACCTGACCTGCCTTGCACCAAGACTCTGTGAACCAGCGCTCTGTTTTCCTTTGTCATCTCTCTGCGGAAAGTCATGAACCAGGGATAATTATAAAACCAGGACATGCTGCAGAATAAAGCATTTAAGCAGGGAAGGAAAAAACATCAAGAACACACATGTGCTTAACACACCCTCGAACCCCTGAACATGCTTTTTAATCTACATGTTGTACTCAAGCCCATGGAACTCCTTCTGGTAACATTAACTGCAGCAAGATGAGCAAAACGGATTCTTTTACCCTAAGAAGAGGGATGACTCCCAGAGTCAAAGGGCATAATCCAAAAAAACAAAAACAAACAAACAAAAAAAACCAGAAATCCATCTTGGCCATCAGAACTGAATTAGCTATTACCTTGGAAAGGCTCAGTGATGAAAAGACAGACCATAAAAACATGAATTGACTTAAACAGTAGGAAAGCAACACCCATGACCACCACAAAAAACCACCAGTATTTCCAGTGCTACCATGCCAAAACATCTAGTGCAATGGATCACAAAGAACCTCAGCCTTATCCAGAACTGTGAGACGAAAAACACTCAAATCCACTTGTGTAGAATAGGTTTATAGCAAGATATAACATTGCATATCCCCTTCAGTCACTCAGACTTTAACAACCACATCAGCACCGCACAATGAAACAGAACTAGTAGTCCAATCCCTTGTTAAAAAAGTAAAATTATTTGTTCTACATATTGAACACAGACCAGAGGCCTAAGAGCTCTTCACTTCCCAATAAACTGAGTCAATGATTTTTCTTCCTCATTTGAGACACTGTTCCAGGCGCACAACGTTAAGATCATCAATACCTTACCAAGCCCTGAAGGCACCAAGAAATCCAAACTATCGTAACGTCTCAAGCTACATTCCACTTTGGGTCCATGAGATTACACTTGCAGCCTGCAAGTGAAATACTGGGATGCAAGCTCTCCGAGTTCCCTGTAGAAGGAAACTGAAAGTTATTCCATATAATTCACTTCCCCTCTACTCCATTTTTCAAGATCAGTGGAGAATCTTTAGACCTCGCCGACCACCCCTCTTGCAACAGTCTCTGTCCCCAGTACAAGCAGCAGCGGTTCTCTGCCAATATAATCACTAAGATCCTTTACCCATGGCTGTACCAACTAGCACAAAACAAGCAGAATTTTGCCCTTCCCCATAATACTCCTGACTTTTTTGTCAGTCCATCCCTTTCTCTAGGGATCTTCACTCCCCAAATCTGCTCCCAGAACAACTACTCTCCTAGCCTATTAAAGCAGAATGTGACTAACTGTGCACCTATAATCACCTTCAAGTCCTGGAATCCAACACTTCAGATTAATTAAAAAGGTAAGGAAAACATAAAAGCTGAAAACATTTCAAAATAAAACAAATAAAAAGACAGGAAAAGGGGCACTTTTGGCTAAGAGATGATTAACTAATGAAAAGTTGCTTTTAAGTGAATGTGCAGATAGAAGCCTGGACTTACACAGACTGGACACTTCAGCAAGCCTGGTGGTCCCAAATATCAGTAAGTTTTGCTTGTTCTTTATGCAAGATTTCACACCAATTTGAAATTAAAGATAGCCTCTCAAAGCCTTTGCATTAGAAAGGCATATATAACTTTCAAAAAATATTCTTTTCATTACAAGACAAATTTACATACAGACTGCTTAGAAGATCCTCATTTTTTCCCATCAAGTATGTCACATCCATTCTGAATTAAAAATTCTCTTTACCAAACTTTAATTCTGGAGGCCTACAAAGAATCTATGCTTATCTCTGTCTTCCTCCAAGCAAAAGCAGCTAAACCAATATGCTTTTGTCATTCATCAGAGCTCTGAAAAACTGCACCTTAATCAAAATGTCACATCCTCAAGCAGAAATATGTTACCCAAGTACACTCAAGTGCAGCCTTTGCAACTCTGCTTACCTATATGGATGCAAAACTGGAGATCCTTTAGTATAAAATTTACCCTTGACATAGGACTAACTTCACCTTCAAGTATATATGGTATATATGTTTCATACCAGGTGCTTACCCAGCATAGACAGTAGAAACCACAAGAATTACTTGAGACATCAGCAGTTACTCTACCATTACTCCTGCATTTTAATATCCTAATCTTAATCCAATGGCATTCAGGAACATGAGGTAAATTGCATTTACATAAGTAAACTGATTTACAGAAGAATAAACAATTATAATGGCAGCTCTTTTCTTACACTTCAGCTATACTAAGTAGTAACTTCAGAAGGCCACCATCATAATTTGCAATGCAAAAATAAGTAATTCAATTTTTTTAAAAACATCTATTTCAATCCTAATGCTCAATTTTGTTTTTAAAAAGACCTTAAAATGAAGCTTTGCTTAGTTTAGAAAAATAAAACTTTACAAGTCACAAAAGGTCAGTATCAACATGGATTTCTTAAAAATACAGCAAGGATCAACCATCAGTGTGGAGAAGTGTTCACTCCACAAGTGCCAAACTTTTCATAACAAGAAAACATTTATTACAACAGAATATTACAAGCAACTTGTTTCAATAATCAAGGAATAAAATTTTACAGAACTGCAAAAGTGGTTGCAGATTATGAACTGACAGACGTTCCAAGTTTATAAACACATTTTTTTTAAGCACACTTAACAGTAGTTTCCAGTCTGCTTTATTTTCCACCAAATATGGTACATTTATCCGAACAAAAGCATGTACATTCAGTATAAAACATTTTGAACAACAGTTACAGTCCAGTTCCCATTCACAGTATTTTTAGTGCAATGCACTAACAGGGCCAAGTATTTCTCTATCCATAAAAGTATTTTTACTCCTGATCTTGTGATCAACATTTTAGATATATTTTATACAAAAGTATATATGAACATGAGGCACCTCCCTAAGTAAGGGAGTGAACCTATATAAAAAACATGTTATTTCTTTTGATGTACAGTACCTTTCAAACTGTAGCAATTTGACACAAATCACTAAACAAAATATTTTCTAAAAAGTAAAAAATAAAAACACCCCCCAAAACCATTGATGCATGAAACCTGCCAAGAATTTCATAATGGTAGGCATACATGCAACTGTTTTACTAAAATCCTGATTAAAAGGTTAAAAAAAAAAGGGATCTAAAACATTTTCCAAGTTATACAAAGTCAAGTGCTACCTACAAGTGGTCATTTATGATATTGAGAGAAAAAAATATTTTGTGTTTCTCCCAAACTAGCCTCCCTTTTTATTAATATTTAATGAAATAAACTAACATTTTAAGTGGTTGTGCACAGATTGTCTGTCTATAATACATCAGCAAATATTCACTACCTTCATATTAACATTAGTGTGTTGATCTTTCAAAAAATAAACTGAAAAAATAAACTGCAACTATCATTAAAGTGCTTGTGTATAATTTTTTTTAAAAAAAAATAAAGAATAGAGGAATGAGAGTACTCTTGTAAACTTCATGGATGTTTACAACATTGTCCTATGAACCACATATGGAAACAGAAATTGAAATTGAAATCTTTGAATCAACTTCAGTACAGTGAAATTCAGAATGCCTCAAAACTGGGAAATTAGTCAGTAGGAACAAACAGATGTTATGGCAAATACTAATAATTAGTACAATTCAGCCAATATACACTACATTGTTTGCTCTTATACATTCATTTGCAATATATTTAAAACAGTACATAACACAACATTTGCCAAAGTAGGACAAACAAAAAAAAAGTTACAGCTGCTCGTCATTTAGCAGTATTAGGGAGAGTCAGTATGCACGACGAGTTCTCTGCAGATGACTTCCTAAATAAGAAATAAAAGCCTTCTTCCAAAGCTGCTACTTGTTAAGTTGCCTCTGTTTTTTTTTATTCTTTTTTTTTTTCTCTCTCTCTCTTTTTTAAGTCGAGCAAGTTCATTCTGCACTGGGTCAAACCTCAGCTGCACAGAGATAGGTACAGTTAACGGCTAAGCTAGAAGCGCAGGTGAATTCAATTTAGCTACTTCAGAGTGTTTGGTGGTGAGGCACTGTCCTACAACAAGTAGTCAGAATGGATATTAATTTAGGAAGAAAATAACAGTTTATGAAAATATTTCCTCCTTCTAGTACCATTATCAAGACATTAGTGGTTCCAACACCAAATTAAAGTCTTTTGACCCAAATGAACTCCAAACTTTCCGAACATCACTTGAACCTATCTGAGGAGAAATGGGAATAAATTAACGCTCTGAGTTTACCAAGCTAATTCTGTTTTAAGTTATACAACATAAATAACCTCACATGTAAGTTAACCTTTGATGATCAAAACACAAAGCTCACTTTTCCTCTTAAATTCAGTATAATTCAGGATCCAGCTCATCTCATTTTTAAAAGTTCCACCCCCTCTAGTCAAGACTTGTTGCCAAGTCTCCGAGTACCAGATTACGTCTGAACACAACTAAGTGGTAATTCACTACAAGAGCTGAATCCAAATCAAATTATCTTCTGGAAGACTACACTTTAGAGCAGAAATATAGAACAAGGCACATACGCTAGGTTTTCTTTTCACCAAATATGTTATAAGGATATTGCTGAATAAGAGTTTTAATCATCCTTATCAATATCACTAATTTCTCTATTTTAAATTTTTATATTATCCCCAGTTGTTCAGGAAGCAAACTGTATTTCATTTTGAAATACAAAATGACTACTTATTTTTTTTTAAAAGGGTTCTTGTAAAAAAAAAAAAATCTTTAACATGAAGGGTATGAGAAAAAAAGATACTATAAATACAACTCATTCATCTGTAAAAAACGCCCAGACTACCATATCAGCAGAAGACTAGAAGGCTCTGGGCCAGAATTTTACGCATATTTAGCTTTAAGGCAGAAATTCTTGATGAGACTGAATTATTTAAAACATAGGATCAGAACTTCTGTTTACATACATAAACACTAAAAGAATAAAGCCCTAAATGTAGTAACTTTGAAGTGGTCACAGGCACCTAACTTGAACGGATTTAATCCATTCTATGGCCTTTTGTTCACAGGACATAGGCACACATTAGGATATAAAAAAAAGTAACACCTCTAGAGCTTCTGCAACTAGGTTGCAGAGATGTTCACTAACAGTGCTCAGACCAGATAAAAGCATCGTTAATTTTACTATTTTAGGAATGTATTGTATTAGCTTGATTACAATAAATACCTTAAATCAATTTTTAAGGAGTTTACTTGGGACAGCTTAACTATATTTTATCTCAGCTTCCTACAAAGACAAATTTAGAAAATAAATCTTTTCCAAATCACTAAACAAAACAAAAAAAATCTAACATCTACCTTAGCACATAAGTTGCTAAACTGTTAAATCTATGGAAGTGTGTGCTTTCAGCAGTAAATGAACAATAACACATGAAAGGTGGTGTTTATGTCTTCTTAAGAAAAAAAAAATATAAAAAGGACAAAACACTATTTTTTCCTCACCAGACAACGGCTTTAGATCTTGTACTTCTGCCTTTGGTTTTATTTTCTTCGGGTGAGTGAGAAACATTTGCCTTGTGGGTTTTCTTATGATGTTCTAGAAAAGTCTTTCTGGCAAACGCTTTCCCACATTTATTGCATCGGTGAAGAGAAAAGTTTTTTGTTACTTTTACTTCAATGCCAACATCAGCTCCTTCATACTTTTTATTGGGTGAATTAGAGGTGACATCCTGTTTTGAACCAATCTGTTTTGTTTCATCCCTCTGAGGGCCTCTTTTTGTCACCTTATTTAGAACAAGATCAATTGGCTTTTTTATTGCTCTAATTTCTAAGCTTGCAGTTATTTTCCCAAGGTAGCGTGGTGACTTTTTATGGACTACAGTTATATGCCTTATCACATCACGCTTGCGACGCGTTTCGTAAGAGCAGAGCGGACACCTGTAGTACTTAACATAAATGTTATTTCCGTCTGTGTGCAGTTCAATGTGTTTTGTCAAGTTCTGCTTAGAAGTAAATTGGCGTTTACAGAGTTTACAGTAAAGCTGCTTGAAGTCAAAGCCAGCTGAAAGTTTCGGCTTCCTGGTTTTTTGCTGGCCACCTGCAGCAGATGCATTGGTTGATTTAGAGGTTGATTTAGCGATTGATTTAGAGTTTGATTTAGTGGTTGATTTAGAGCTCGATTTAGGGTTTTCAGGGTCCTGTTTAACTTTATTTTTCTGTGCTGACGGAGTGCTCTTTTTCTCATTTGAATGATTTGTTCCCTTTAATTCATTCTGTGGAGAAAGGGCAATGGAAGGGGGTGAAGGTTCTACACAGTCTGCTGGTTCAACTTTTACTTTTATTTCTGTGCCATTGGCAGTATTGTTGGGTCCTTTCTCTCTTTTCGAGTTCTTTCCAGAAAGAGTTATCTTGTGAACAATTTGCATGTGCCTTTTAAGCATTATTTGTGAACTATATTTTCTCTTGCACAGAAGGCATTTGCATGCAGTTAAATTGTATTCAGCCTTTGAAGACGACTTTTGTTTGCGGGTCTTAAAAGATTTTTTAGCAGAAACTGTATCCAAGAACAAAGGTTGCCCCGGCTTTGTAGCTATATCAGGAGTAATGGAATCTCTTCTTAATCCTCTATGAACTTCATCAAAATGCCTCCTTACATTGGCTTTTGTAGCAAATGATTTATAACATACTGGGCAACTTCTACCTAATGTTACAAGAACATTCTTATTTCTTCCCCTCACTGAGCACTGATTTTGTTTCTTTTTTGTTTCTATGTACTTCTTTAGCTCTTCCATCTTTTTTTTGTGTACTTTTCTAATATGCCGGCGTACGCTGCGTCTGGAATGAAATTCTTTCCTACAAAGGCAACAAATCAACTGGTGGCCAAAATCAGAATTATCTGAGGAGTCCAACTCAGGATTTGCTGCTGGAGGCTGTTCTTCAGAAGTAGGTAGCACTTTGTTTGTGACGGGATCGGCAGCAGGTAATTCCGATGCTTCCCCAACTGGAGATGGAGATGGAGTTGAAACAGTCTTGGGCTGCTCAGTGCTGGGTTCCTGTATTTGTACTGGAGCCTGATCAGTACTACTAATTTCCGTGCTCTCATCTGGACTATCAGTCACTGATATGTACTGAAATACAGCATTTTGATTAGTCTCTATAGGTTCCAATTTAATTATATATTCTTGCTTGTCTACTCTTGGATAGATTGCTTCCAGGAGATCACTTATGGCTTGGCTTTGTTTATCATTTATATCTGGCAGGTCTGCACAAAAAAAAAATAGATGAATTGTTTCAATCAAGTTTAGACTGAACTGATGGTTTCAAACTATTTAAATTTTACACATCTCAAAGTGTCTTTTCACTGTTAATTAAACAACCGTATTTGCAGAAGTCATTCACTTTTAATATTTATCTAGTTACAGGTCGAAGAAATATTGCTTAATCTAACAACTGAACTACTCATTCAAATTGGATTTGTTTCGACTAGTGAAATAACTTTCAACACATCAGAACAAGACATGAATAAAAGTGTCCTTTTTAATAACAGCCAACTGAGGAAATAACATCCTTGTAGCAGTCTCATGTCAAAGCCACCTAAAGCAAAAATTTGTCTGTCTCAAATTAAACTGTTTTCTAAAAGTCTATACCAACTATACAGAATATTTTATACATATGTGTAGATTTATCCATAATTTTTTAATGAAGTGCTTTCTCCCTTTGTATACCACCTTATCAAACCATGCACTGACTATATGAGATGGAAGACATCTCAATAAAGGCCCTAAAGAACAATAATTTTCCAGCAGGGAGAATACAGAACTTTTATTCCTATCTATTGTTCACCATCTTTCAACTTTGTTCATTGGAAAAAAACAAAAACAAACAAAAAACCCAACTTGCATACTTGCATGCTATTCCATAATTTTCACCTTCAAAATTAATTACAAACAGTATTCATATAGTTTTTTTGATATCACCTAGTGTTATTCTCTTGCTTTGCACTCTTCCTAGTCAAAAATGAAACACAAAAGCTGTCTAAACAAATAAATGATGGCCAGAATACCAGGAACTGACTGGAGATCTTTATTTAGAGTGGGTTTATTTTGCTTAGAAACATGTATATCCACGTCAGATGCATTTCTAGTCTTGCATTAATAATACAGCTCATCCCTTTCACCTGAGAAGCTCTATGACTATGCAACTAGCCAAGCACATTAAATCTAAGGGAGGAGCCACTATTAGTCTTTTCACTTTCATCTCCTTCTTTACAACACTTGCTAACAGCTGAAAAAGAATCATTTAAATAAATTTCTATAGTTTCTTAACTTTTAAAACACTGAAGCAAGAAGGCATTATTCAAGAAAAAGTCCTCATCAAATCTATAAGTATCTAGTCAGGAAGGGATCAAGACAATCAGAAAGTTCCACTAAATCTTTTCAAATGTTGGCACATTTCCAAATTAATCAGCATTTCACAGATGAAGATTAACAAAAGGTCATCATTAAAAAATTAGAAGATTTAATGTATATAATTTTCTATGAAAATACACTTATCTAAGAATTTCCCCATAATCTAAATTACTTGCTAATAATAGAAACATCTGATTTCTACAAAGGAGGAAGTGGACTAGACATGATTGCATCCAGGGCCCAAGAATATCTCAAAGCAGGGTCAGGTGAGGTGAGAAGGTGGGAATAGAGACAGGATTATTGAAGCTCCAGCCCTTGCAGAAAAGGGGCCACCTTTTATTCTGTTTCATAATGAGTTAAGACTGAAGGACTGTATCCAGAACATGGAACCTTTCCCCAAGTACAGGACAGTGATGCAGATTCATCCTAGTGATTTTGTAAGATCCATCTGGAGTCCTGCAGAGCTATGCTAAAACCTTGTTAGATCCAAGCTTTTCTGCGAGAAAAAGCTCTTTCCAAGCTCTTTGGCATACTTTCTGGATCTTTCATAACAGAGAGGGAAAACAAAACAAAAGCAAAGGGGCAGAAGGGATAAAAAGCATTGCCAGTGACATCCTCCATTAAAAGGCTAGATCTAAAGACCAGCTACCAAATGATGACACTGAGTTCCTGCTTCCATATTGAAATCCATACTGCACCTCTTTATAGGCACAAGTGTGATCTACATATCTTACTATCAACATTCAATTCTGCTGCGTGATTTTTTGATTTTGTTTCTGGTTTGTTTTCATAAATGGTACAGAAAGCTAAGTTTCTCACTTTTAGATAGATATATTAAGTATTTCATTGAGCAAAACTTACTGTCATCCATCTGAAGACTTGGAGGACAATAAAACTTTTTATGAGTAATTAAATTTGGTAATCCTCTGAAGAGACTTCGGCACAGTTTACATTCAAAAATGGTGTCCACATCTTTTAACAAGATATGTTTGAGTTGTTTAGTCCCTGTAATGTAAAAAATAAAAATAAAAGAGATGTTATACTGTTTTCTGTTCATCTGCTAAATCACATCATCCCATAAAAGCAGAAATGTTTTAAAAGATGACATTAACACAATGTTTTATCTTGTGTTAGTTCTCCTTCATTACACTGTAAGTTTATTAGACATGCTCTGAGTTAAGTCGTAGGAAAACAAGCCTAGGTTTAAAAAAGGCAAGACAAAACACAAGAGTTATGAACAGTAAACAGGGAATTTGTGAAGATTTATAATCAAAACCAACTGCTAACATTAGTATGGCTGTTCAAACTAAAATAGCGGATTGCAGAAATACAACTGCCCAATAAGAAAAAGAAGTCATGCAAGCATTTAAATAATTCTGCAGCATTTTTCCTTAAAACTCCTCCAGCAGCACTAAGAAAGCAAGATACATACAGCTATTTCCTGTAAAAGTAGCACCAGGTAAAGTAAAAAGCTACAGAGCATACAATAAATGTACAGAGAATAAGTAATGGGTCAAGACTCATGTTAATACACCCAGGTAGCTGACTCAAGATCATGGTAACTGCTCATTAAAAATGCCTACAGTTATTAGCAATGGATCGATACTCCAAACAGTAAAGAAACACTAGCTGACCAAAATCAGTGTATTTCTCTACCTTGTTTTTATTTTATTTAACGAAATAAGTTAAATTAGTCAAACCCCCAAAATACTGGAACTGGACCAGGCACAAATAGTATCACAATCAGAAAACTGTGAACCAGAAAAAAAGCATCAAGACATTCTTCAAGTTAAAACAGGGTAAGGAGTTCAGGCTTTATGAGGAGAGTCTGTATGATGCCAGAAGATTTCCTTTTAAAGTTCAAACTCCGAGTTGCATTACAGAATTATTTCAGAGACAAGACCTTTTCACGTACTAATAGATTTCAGAATATCTAGTAGTTCTGCAATATAGGTGGTCCTTAGGACAGTCAGCTTTTATTTCCTGGTGTAATAATACATTGGATTATCAAGTTGTTTACCAAGATCTTACCGATACACATTTGAATTAAACAACATCACAAAAGAAAATTCAGCTAAACAAAATTGACATGTCCTATGTAGAAAAAAACCCAGTAAATTACCAAATTGCAATTCAAATAAAAAGTCCTCAAACTTGCTAACAGCACAAAAGCTAAAACAAAATTTGACCAGTGCTGCTGATGCGCATCATAATTACAAACCCATCTCCCAAATAAAGACAAACAACTGTCCATTTCACAAATTACATGTCCCACTCCAGGGACACACAAGTCCATTAATGCCTCATTCTCTTCGTTGTTGCTGACAGCTCTCAGCAGTTGAGTCTTCTTTCACTTCAGTACTTGAATGTTTTTGTCTAAGTATCTTCTTATCCTTCGCCAATGGTGGGTTCTGTCAATCAGCAGTTAGTTTTCCCACCGGGATATACTGCCTCCAGCTTACTGAAAACATCTCTGTTTCATAGCTACGTCTACTAGTGGCAAGCGATACTTTGTCAAATCCTGTGAATATTTGTAAATGATGAAGCTAAAATAAGATGGTCATAGGAAACTGGTACGGAACATCAGCTAAGACTGAAGAATTACTGAAGTTCGTTTTTGGCAAGCAATTTCATATTTAAAAGAGAAATTCAATCTGTTTGCTATCTATTTGTTATAATATCAGTATTATATTCTATAGCAAAAATACAGTACTCTTCACTTTATTATAGAATATTACTATACTACAGCATATTTTAGTATTTATACTAGTATTACTAGTATACTTACTTACTAGTGTACTAGTATGCTACACTTACTCCTAGAGTTACTAGTATACAAGAATACACTTACTAAAAATGTTAAAATCAAAACACAAAGAACATTCTGGTTTTAATCTCTCTTTCTTTAAAGGATTACTAGAAGAATCAAAATAGTTTATTTGCATAATGAAACACTGCTTGTTCAGAAGGAGCTAATAAAATCTTGGTTCAAGTTGTTACACTTTCTCTCCAACCTCTGTGGTGTAGATCAGGTGAATGAAGAGTTTTGGTAGAGCGAGCTATCAACTTATCACCTGACAGCAAGGAAAATCTGGAATCGGCCTGGAGACAGGTTACACACCACTAAGAACAGAGCACTTCATTAATCTGCTTCAGGTGAAAGAAGTCTGCCACACATCTGAGCCCCTTGGGCAATTTCATCCAAACACTCTCACTTTTATAACAATGGATTACTAATGATGGATCACACAGTTTTTTGTGTTGTATTAAGCCATTCAAATGCAAGCGGAGAACAAATGGAATATTGTGCACCCGACAAGAGTCAACCCAGGTACACATCCTGACACATACAAATGGTTTATACATAAAACATATACTTCTTATGTACAATAGTTCTGTGTGGAAAAAAAATATATGTGACTATATATTCCATGAAGACTCACTTTACCTACCACTTTACCTTCTGTTTCACACAGAAGACTACCCAGCAGGAGTTGTGTTTTCACTACTTTATATAAAAACCCTTATTAAAAGAACAGGACTCAATAGCAAAAACCTATGTTTACATTGCAGTTATGTAGAAAGTTACATTTCATATATTTATATTCAATATACAAATTCTTAAAAAAAAGATAATGTTTTTAAGAAAACATGATATAACATATCTGCCTGACATAGCATGAAATGACAAAAGCCATACCTGATCGAAAACACTCAATGATTTGTTGAATGCCAGATTTTGATGTTTGCAGAGGCTGCTGTAATAATGGAGGATCACCAGGTTCCAACATATCCACTGAAATACATGAAAGACAATAAGACACAATGAAAATCTGCTAAGTTTTCTCTTAAGTTACAGATTTTCTATGCATGCAATAAGCTTTCTAAAAAGATAGACCAAGAACTACAGTAAGGATTGTGTTACTCAAATTCATCAACAACTAAATTAAAAAGCATCACATTAAATGACAATTTTTCCAATCATTAATTTTTGACAGTACTTCTTGAATGTGGTTTTAGCAGCTAAAACATTCTAACACTATATAAAAAGATATTATATAAAGTTATATATATATTATATGTAAAATATTATAATAGCTATTTGTCGTACATGCAATTTAGATATGCTCGTGTTTTGTTCTGATCAGTGCTACCTTTGGATTTGAATTCAGTTCCAAGTATGTACTGACAATACTGGAATCACACAGGTACACTGTGAAGATGTGCTGAATTTGGTAGCTCCTTTTTGCACGTATGTTTTGTTGTGTTTGTCTGAATGATGGGAGTCAAGTTGACAGACCGAAGAAATACTTCAATTGATACAAACTTTTGATGAGCAATTTGGTTTGTAGTCACTATAACCACATTCCAGAAGTACTTCAAGGAAATTCCTGAGGTTATACCCTTTTACCTAAATTTCATTCCACATTGCAATCATTTTAAAATGTATTTATTGATCCAGATAATTATTAGTTATAACAGTAGTTATCTATACAGAAATCCATAATAGTTATCCATATAGAAATTTATAAGCATATACAGCAATAGAATGCTAAGGCTTTCCCTAGAAGGAAAACCACATTTAAGCGAACATGAGCACTTATTCAAGCACATATTTGAAAATCATTACTCAGATAATCTTTGTTCATTTCTTATTGAAAAAAAAAAAAAGTTTTGTAGTTCATGAATTGTCTTCTACCATTTTGGTTATTTTTAACCCTATTGTAAAATTTCCTTTTCAAAACAAAGCATTATGCATTTCTAAAAATAATATTTTTAATAAACAGCAGTAGCAGTAAACACAGAATAAAGCTACTTACAGACACTAAGAGCAAACACATTAAACACATTTTGACAGCAGTGTTTTCTAAAAGATGTGAGATTATAAATAAATTCAACTGAAAAGTCAGAAAGAAAGTCTAAGAAGACAGAACATTCCACCTAACTATGCTAGCCCCACAATATACTATTATATATACGAATACATAACAACCATTACAAATCAGCTAATCGTTTGGGGATCTCTAACACAATGACATATTGTATTCTGCGACCCTCCTCCCCATTCCTCAAAATAGTGTATTTTGGTTGGTACACTCCTCCTAAAATGCATGCGCAACACCCCCTGACACCCAGAGGAGTGACGTGTGTGAAGCACACAGGGCACATGTTTAGTAATTTAAGGCAAGAAAAGTATTTTAGCCTATCTTTTAAACACAAGAACAACTCAAAAGCTTTTAAACACAAAGAAATGCTTCTACTAGCTGCCCAATGCCTATTCTCACACCGCATTGATTTTGAGACACATTAGCAAAGTTGCCAGGTCCATGCTTTCCTCTATTAATGCCTCTATTAACTGCAAAAAAAACAATGCCTTTCTTCTCAAAACAAAAATACAAGCCTCCAAACATCCAAACAATAAACCCTACATCAAGGCAACAAAAGAGGAGAAACAACAGGAAAAGAATCAAATTTTCTTTGGGGTTAGCTATTATAACAGCAGATAAAAAAATAAAATGCCAAGAGGACTGTACAAAGATGGATGAACCTCCATGGTCTGGAATCACATTTGCACAGATGACATTTTCCATGTCACACAGCAGCGAATACAAACAGTGGTTACAGGAACTCAGGGTTCCCCCCTCCGCCCCTGTGAGCAGGGCCTTCAAGTTTATCAGTACTTACGAGAAGGAGAGGCGTAAATTAAAAACTTAAATAAGCAATGAAACATGGGGCAGGTGCTGACATTTACACAAATTCCAGAGTATCACACTTTTTATAAGCAGAAATGCCAGTTACTTTTAGGTAGCTTCTGGCCTCCCTCTGCTCACTGCATTCCTCTGCCTGGGAGCTCTGGAGTTGTTACACACTCCTCAAAAATGAGAAATTATGGTGCTGAGTAAGTTAATACAACAGCTCTGGGTTACTCCAAACCACTTCCCAAAAAAAGATTTTGTTATGTTTTTAAACTACCCACAGCGTTCACTAGCAGTGCGCGCCTGGGAGCGGAGCCCCGCACCGGTACCTGGCTCGCAGCATCCATGGTGGTGGTGCTCAGTCTGACAGCACTTGTCCCTCAGAGGCATTTTCTGCGCGCACGACCCGCTTCCCTCCTACATCCAGCAGCCTGTTCCTGCTG